TGATGCCATTGCGTGTGCTTTGGTATTCCCATGCTCAAAAACCTTTTTCCTTAAGGCTCTTTGCTTTTTTTTTAAATCGGGCGCAGATGATGTCACCGAGCCCGAGATCCATTCTTTTGCAAGTTTCACACCTGCAGTTTTTTCCGGACCCAGTGATCCCACTTGTTTGCAAATGGCACAGCCCAGTCCAGTGGTTTCCATTGTCAGCCATGGATAACTTTTTTTTCTGTGTAAACTGGGCATCTGTCCAGATTTGCCCATCGTGAGTGTCCCTGACAATACCTGCTTCATCGCCATCACTATCTCTCGCAGATTCCAAGTTCACATCATCCGTCTCGTCCCCTTCATCTCCTTCCCCGTGGGGGTCGCTAATATCCCCACTAACGACAGGAGCATTAGCAGCATCGATGGTAGGCTGCATACTACTGCTCTGTCCACCGTGGTCTTCACACTCATGATTTTCGGAAACTATTTTTGATCGTTTTGGATCTGACTGCTGGTCACTGACTTTGAAAAAGTTAAGTAAAGTTTGTTGTCTTTTTGACATTGTAGACACGAAGCTAACTGTTATGTATTCAACCAGCGCAAGCGTAGGCTATGTGTCACACCTCTAGTCTCCCCCCCTCTCCCGCTAAAAACCTTAAAAATTTAAACGCATCAAAAAGGCAAACACAAGATTTTTGAGGAACTTCAATGGGGAATAAACACTAACAAGACATATAACAACATTGAACACCGAACAAACAGTCGTTTTTTTTTTTTTGGCGTTTTTTTTTTTCATAGTGACACGGGAGGTGGCTGATCCAATAAAAAAGGTTCCGGATCCAATTTCAGAGGTGCCGGAATATGTTCCGGCGTGTTCCGGCTCAAATTAAGCCCTGGTCTTTGTCTGTCTTCCAGGACAGGGGGTCTGGCTGCTGTGTAGGTGATGGTGCATGGGCTGCTGGTGGCTGTGTCGGAGGGAGGTAGATGTGATTGTCCCAGGTTGATGCTGGTGGCCGTGTGGGAGGTACGTCTGCTAGGCGAGACTTCTTTGCTGGCTGGGTTGATCGTGATGGCTGTGATGGAGGCCTTTGTACCGAGGTGTATCTTAATCTTGTGGCAGATGGAGGCCACTGTAGTGATGATGGTCCTCTGTTCCTTGGTGGTGATGGCTCTGGTGAAGGCCCTTGAGCCACGGTAGATCTTGACCTGGGGGCAGGGACAAATGGAGGTTCTTGTTGCTGCTAGGCCCAGGCAGCTGTGAAATCTGAAAAAATATATAGGACAATAATTACTACTAAGTTTGTTAAGATAAAGTTCAAGTGGAATGTTTCTCAAGCACAAATAACAATGCACAACTCAAAATAAAATTATCTCTCGAGGAGGAGGAGGAGGAGGAGGAGGAGGAGCGTGTGAGAGATAGAAAGAGAGACGTTGTTAGTATTTGGTGCTTGCTCACGTAGATTAGAAGCTGTTTCAACAATAAGGAGAGGGAGAGCTCTCTCCTGTGGGACTGAGAGAGATAACGTCAGCTCAGGGAGGTAAAGGACTATTAGATTGTAAACTTTAGTCTAAGTTATCTCAGTGGGTCTCAAACGGTTTGGTCATCTTTGTAAACAAATATTTCCATCTATGTAATATTAGTTGTATATAAAATGAGTTAATAAATCATTCCACTGTGTGCAATAGGTCAGTACAAAATAAAAAACACAGTTTGAAAGGGGAGTGATTAGTAAAATATGCATAAATAAAAAGAAAGAAGGCAGACTAGGTAAGATAAAGATAGGAGAGAGGAGTTGATCAAATATGTGTTATTGCTTGTGAGCATATTCTAATGGATTTTTGATGATTGAAATATATACTAGTAGCCCCCCTAGAGGATGTGAGGTCATCACAAATAAAACAGGTATACATGGATAGGATACTAGATAAGTGTGCACACTCATTATATACACACTACACATTTTTCTTGGATTTGTTAACACTATAATCCCTAATATATTTGTAGAAAGGCAGGAAATGGAATTAAATTGAGAAAATGTTTCATTGCGGAGGACCCCGTTTTGTGTCCCCCCACTTCTCAAACCAAAGTTACACCCTTGCACCCACACAATGCAAGTACACTATTACTGTAATATTTACATTTACCTATCTTCAAATGGATCCTTGTTGCTGTATTCTTCTTCTTCAGAAGAGTAGAAGCCTCCAGACTCTAATGCTGCTCCATCTCCACTGCTGCTAGTGTTACAAGTCCGCTGCGCAGAGCTGGTAATCAGATAATAAGCCTGTTGATCAGGAGAAAAGAATGAAGCAGAGGGAAAGTTACTGCCGTTTGTGTGGTCGTTCTAGCCAGAATGTATTAAACAAATTAATAAATTCACTTAGAAATGATATCTGTTTTCTCTATTTATCTAATAATTATTTGTGTAACCGGTCTGGATTGACGCCAGATTTATCTCTGCGTTGTGTTGAATGAAAACGACTTCCTTCTTGCCAACCAGGTTTATTATCTGTGTAAACAGAATATAGTGACGGCAGGAAATGGCTTCACCAGCTTTCTACCTCAATACTTCGCCTCAGTGAGGCCTTAAGCTAACTGAGAATGTAATCATACATTTAGCAAATCAAAATAACCGTATGACATATTTGTCTCTAAACAAAAATGGACATAAATCCACATGCCATATGACTTTCATGAAGGATTAAAGCCTTTTTCATTTACAGGATATAATACAGTGATAACAGATAACACACACAACCCGGTTGACTGTACTCACTTTAACATGGCTATGTTGTACAGGTGTTGCAGTACAAGTTGAGTCATGACAACTGGCGACATTCTATTATTTTCGTCATAGGAATCCGGGGCGTGTACATTGAGGACCCATTGTTGACTTAACAGGAAAGAAACATGCCGATCGCCTCGTTTGTCGTTTACGTTCATCTTTTGCTATATCTTCCTCCATAGGATCACTTTGATGCACATTCAGTATTCGTATGTGAGGTTGTGGGGGAGAGGTCGATATCGTGACGCTTACAGGGAGGTATCGAACATTACAAAGTAGGTGACTGTGTAGATGCCTGTTCAAAATATTGCAAACTTGAATAAATCATTTAAATTATATTATTTGTTTCCGACTTTCATTTGTACATCGTTCTTAATGTGATGTATAGTAGCTTTGATAGCTGTCCATACCTTCAGACAGCCTAAAAGTAAAACACAAGTTGTTTATTCACAAACGCTCATCGACATGACTGGATCACTCATGACAAGTTGTGATCAGCTCCGATTAAATTGTGATATCAATTCTGTAGCTATTCTCCAGGGAGCACGTTTTTTTGATGAAATACCTGTATCCCTCTCATCACAACAAGACT